CCGAGCCCCGCGCTCGGCGCCCGCCGCGCCGTGGGGGAGGGGCGGGGCGCGCCGCGAGAGACCGGGGAAACATGGCTGCTCGTCCTAGTTCGGCGTCGCGGCGTGGCCACCAGCCCCCAGAACAGAGTTAGGAAAGGCTCCGAAGGTGGGTGTGTGGGGGCCCCGGGGGCAGCGCGACGCGGAGGGGCGCTCTCTGGCACCTATTTGCATTTAGGACGTTTTAAAAGAAAATAGTTCCTCCTCCCCCACCCCTTTTGTCCCTCATTAGGTAGCTTTCTCCTCCTGTCACCCAAATATGCAGAAAGTGCCCCATCTACCCCCACCTCCGCCCCACCCCGCCTCAAGGCCGGGGGCAGGTGTGTGGGCAGGGAGACTCGGAGGCGAGGGGGCGAAGCGTGAGAAATCTCTCCCAGTTCGGCGCGTCGCGCTCCCCTCCCCCAACACACACACGCACGCACGCACACACACACACACAGACACACTCGGTGAAGTTTAAAGAGCCGGTTCGACCCGCTTTCGATCTCGCTCCCAGCTGGTCAGCGATGCTTATAGGGTACGTCCGGCGAACCGTGCCCGGCCACCGAGCAACCGCGACCCCGGCCCTATACTTGGCGCCCTTCCCCCTCCGCACAGGGGGCTTCCGGAAAGTACGCAGGAAGACCGCGGCCTCCGGCCCCCTCCCCCATCACCACACCCAGCCCCAAATCCTCGGGCTCGGGGTCCAAGCTGGGATGATACCGGCCAAAGAAAGGAAAACCGCCGGCAAATTGTTCGCGGAAACTCCTGCCTTCTCCGGCGGCCAACCCCCCAGCCCTGCGCGCCATAAGGCACTCGCACGTCTCCAGTCCACAGCTGCGTTGGGGGGGGGGGGGCACAAAAAGGCTCTTGTTTTCAAAAGTCACACTCAGGTTTGGGGGAGGAACTAGGGAAAAGGGGAAGCAAAGCCGACCTTAGCCAGGGATTCGGGTTTTAACGGGTTGGAGGGGCGAAAGGTGAGCGCACAGTGCTACCCAAATTCCCAACTCTGCGCAAACCCGTCCACCAAGGCTGAGGGGGGTCCTCCTCGCCCGCCCCCGCGCCCCACATCTCCCCAAAGGGCCACGAGGGGAGTCGGCCAGCGTTTTCACCCCAGGCCTAGGGGCCTCCTCCGCTGAGCTGCCAACTCGCATAAAACACTCATGTTTGAAAGCGAGAGGGAGATCGAAATAAAAACGAGCGTGCAAGTAACCCACCCTCACTTTCCCCTCTCCCTAAGGGTGGGCTTTTGCCAAAGCCTGCCGTTCCCATCCGTGTAAGTTTCCTCCGGCCGGACTCCCACCGCTGCCCAATCAATAACGGCGAAAAGAAGGCAAACTCCGTCCCGGAGCTGCGTGTTTTCTATGCCCGCATAAATCTGGACCCAGCCAATACCCACCACCAGCACCAGCTCTAGGCAGCTCGCGTCCTGACAAAGTTTCCCGTGCCCATTTATGAACCAGCGCGAATGGCTGCCAGAAAGCCCACCCCCAGAGAAAGCTGGTCCGGGGGTTCGTGTTGACCGGGAGGCGAGGTTCCGAGGCTGGCATCTTAGGGAGGCCGGAAGAAGCAGGGGCGAAGGGGTCCGGGACGTAGCCTTTCGGTAACTTCCAATAGCGGTGGCTCGAGGTGGGGAGGCGCGGGGATTATCTGTGCCTTTGCACGTTCGAAAATCCCTCCCCCCGCCGTCTAATTTATCCTCCCTTCTGAAGGAAAGAAAGAAACATCAGCATCTGGCCCGAAGGTGGGGTGGAAAGAGTGAGGGAGAAAGAAGAGGAAAGGAAGGGAGGCAGAGGAAGGGAGGCAGAGAAAGGGAGGGAGGGAGGGAGAGAAAGGGCGCGTTCACGAACACTACAAAGTTACAAATATGGCTCCCCCGTCTCTCGCCTCATCACTGCAAAGAAATGAAGACGCACTTTAAACTCGAGCCGTTCTCAACTCCACTGCAGCCCCCTCCCCACGCGCTCTCCCCGGGGGCCTCGGCCCACATTTATCAGAAACTAAACTGGACTCGCCAAGCCCAAAACTTATTGTGTGTGAGAGAGAGAAAGGGAGGGGGACGGCGCCGGAGGGGGGGGGTCGCGGAAGGACCGATACATTTATAAAATATAAAACCCCCTTATTTCTGTTGTTAAATCCAGGAGGCAGACCCTGTCCTCCCCCTCCCTCGTTAATCTTTCCCCCCGACGGAGTCACGGGAGCAGCGAGCTCACAGGGTGATTTTCCCTCATTCTCTCAGACCCAAAAGCGTGCGCCCGCTGGCCCCCGATGGGTGCACACTCGCACGCACACTCGCACCCACACTCTCACACTCGGACGCGCACACGCGGGAGCACACGCACAGGTAGTCACACACCAAGGGCAGCGGCAGCAGCAGCCGGAACATGCTCGGATGGCATTGCAACCCCCCAACCTTGCAATTCATTTGCAGTCCGACTCCCAAACCCACACCTCCTGGGCGCCCCCCTCTCAAAAAACAGTGCCTCCCCCCAGCACAGACAGACAAAGTAGAAGAATGGACCGACAGAGATATTTTTGGCAAATGCTCACATCAGAGGGCGTCCTGTTCCGCAGCTCTAAATGAATCCGTTTGTCCATTTCCATCTCTCGTTTGCTCTCTCTGCAGAGGCTCCCGCGCCGGCGGAATTCAATCAATAAACCCCGAACCCACGGCCGCGCGTTTTAGGACTTTGAAGGCTCAACCCGCTCCGCTCGGTTCTCGAGCCCCCAGCACCCGCAGCGCACACTAACCTGATCGTCGTGGAGGCGGGATCTGCGGCCCCAAGGACGAGTGGCAGCAGCCTGAGCCAATCACCACCGAGGGTCTCCGGGCAACAACCCATGGTGGCGGCGACGGGGGGGGAAGGGACCAATGGGCGGGCTGCGCAGCCGGCCAGGGAGGTTCAGCCATTTGGTTGTGGTGCCGGAGACGGACCCCTTTAGATTTCGGGGCGGCTGAGGAGAGCGGTGGCTGTTTGGTGGCTGCGCGAGGGGGGTGGGCGGAATGGCGGGGGAAGGGAAGGTAACTATGCCTGGAAGGCCGAGGCGCCCGGCCGCGCCAGTCCGCCGCCGCCGCCTCAGCCGTTTGGCCGGGGGCGGGGCCGCAGGTGCGTTACACGAGGGGGAGGGGCGCAGCCGGAGGCGTCGGGTCGGGGTCCTCGCCCGGCCGGAGGCTTAGCGTTGCCGACGCGGGCCGCCTGATGGGGTTGCGGAAGGAGGCTGGCTGCGCGAGGTTAGGGTCTGCCGACTGCCCCTCGGGCGGACCCGGGGGGAGGCCTGGAAAGAGGGGGAGGGGTCAAGGGTGCAGTTGCGGGGGAGGGGCTGGTCATTTTCTGGGTCCCGAGGGCCGAGTTGGAGGAGTTTGCTGTCTCCCCCCGCACCCCAACCACCACCACTTTCCGTGACCGCGGCTCACAGCCCAGCTCACCCTTTCCCTCCAGCCTCGTCCAAATCTGGCCACGGCCATCGCTGCCTCTCGAATAAATAAGTAAAGCAAAGCAAGATGCTTCATTCCACCTCTGGATGACTTTCCCGCGCGGTCTCGACCCTCACCGTAGAGATCAGTTTGGGAGGGGTGGTCACCAAGAGGCACCCAGGATCTTGTTTAGACAATATATGAAGACCATGGACTTGGAATAAGAACTGTTGATAAATGTATATATAGAATATTAAAACGTGCAAAAGGAGGGTGCTAATAACTCCTGGGTTTCTGGGCCAAAGATAATTTATGGGGCTTTATAGATGTAGTTCAAGGAAACGGTGTCGTTCATTCTGATCGTCCATCTGAGTCATTGGTTAGATTTGGGTTGCCAAGGAGGCTCTGCTTGGAGCACTTTGACCAGGTTTTTTTGTTTACCTGCTTTGGATTGTTTGAATCACGTTAGTTTTAAGAGACTTTGAAGTCTTAGTTCTCACTGGGTTACCAACTACATATGGCCAGGCCTAGGACCTTTTCGTGTAGTAAATTGGCTGCCTAGGCTTTTAATCACACGGATTGTTAACAAGGACAGATACAGGGGACATCCTGCAACTTAACACTTTACTCAGTAAATCCTGTCACAATAATAAGTGGAATTTAAAAAGTGATAATGTTTATACTTTGAGTACTTGGGAAATGCAAAATAAAATTATTTTAGTCCCTTTGGGTATACTTAGTTTAGAGTAATTTAACATGCTGATTTAGCTGACATATTTGTCATCTTTAGTTTTGTTAAGCTTATTGAAGCTTGGCTGCTAACCAAAAGGTCAGCAGTTCGAATCCACCAGCTGTTCCTTGGAAACCCTACCAGGCTGTTCTACTCTGTCCTATAGGGTCCCTATGAGTCAGAATCGACTCGACAGCAGTGAGTTTGGTTTTTTTATAGAAATCCAGTTGCATAGTTGAGATCTACTCTTTTTTTTTTAATGGTATTGGCTTCTTTTTAAAACAAAAGGAGGACCCCAAGTTACCTCTCCTTTGCCATTGAGTCAGTTATTTCCAAGGATGGTATTTAAGGTTGTTTCAAAAAAGAGCCCTAAAAAACTTCATCACAAACACATTAAGTCAATAGAGTGTGTAGAATCTGTGTAACACAGGAGCCCTGAAGTTTATGTTCTAAATGGTAAAGATTCATCTTCAATTTAAAATGTTTACCACAGTTAAAATGGGATGTAGGATGGTACCTTTGCAGAGGAGGGATCCCTTAAAAGCCATGCATTCAAGTGCAAAGATGTGCCCCATCCAACACTTTGGAACAGAAACAAATAGCTTACTTTAGAGTGTTAGGACTGGAGAGGATGAATTGGAAGTTCAAACCCCCATTAAAGAGAGTGTATCTGGACAAATATGAAAGAGCGCTTCATGGAGTAGCAATGTTTAGAACTGGAAAAGTTATGGCCTGATCACTATAGCAAAATACTAAATGCAACTTGTTTTTAAAAGCATCTTGCCTTTTAAAATTTTAACAACTGCTTTCGTATTCGTGTTAGAAAATTGAAAGAACGCTTCCCTGGATATCAGTCAGTATAGAATTTGAAATATCAAAAAAGTGTCTGTAACTAATTGAATACTTAACATTTTCCACATTTTTCCAACATACTTTGAAAGAAGAGATTTTCTCTCACTTTCACAAATAGAATTCAGTGCTCGTAGTTTACTTCTAAGGAGCCCTGGTGGCACAATGGTTAAATGTCCAGCTGCTAACCAAAAGGTCGGCAGTTCGAACCCACCAGTGGCTCTGCGGGGGAAAAAAGACCTGTCAATCTGTTCCCGTTAAGATCACAGCCTAGGAAACCCTATGGGGCAGTTCTACTCCATCCTGTAGGCTCGCTATGAGTCGGAATCCACTCAACGGTACACAACAAGAACAGTTTATTTCTAAGAAAATTTTCATATGATACTGATTTTTTTTTAATTCTCAAATGGAAATAAGAGATAGCTCAGGTAAAACTAAGCCATTTGCCCTGTGCTACATGACCAAACATCAAAAAATATTTGCTCTTATATTCCTTATTTTACTAGAGTTGTTTCTTAGATTACATTTTATTGCATACTATAGTAGTAAATAAATGGCTCTGAATGGCTCTGCAGATCAGAAGATACAGTAAGAGAAGAAGCCCATATCAAGGAATCTTGCTGAATTTTGATGTGGAGTTGGAACAGGGTGAGTTCCTAACTGCTAAATGATTCTACAAGAGGAGTTAGGTTATGAAAGGTGTAGAGTCTGTAATTTCTGTAACTGGGCTTGATTCACACTAGGAGAATAAATGAGATACACTTCAAAGTTTTGAGCCCCTAGGAAGAAAGATGGTCTTCAAGTAAGGAAAGATATCTTTCTGCCTTCCAGAATATTTCCCATCAAGAACCATTCCAAACAAATGAGCAGCCTATCTTGTACTCAAAGATGTATGAGGAATGGGTGTCCTTAGCCTCCCTTGATAAGTGTTAGAAAGTACTGTTTTATAAATACCCCCATCATTGCTGCTGCCATGTTAGCTCAATTGCCCTTGTTTGGTCTCTAAAGATGGAGAGCCTCTACTGAGCATCCTTTCTATGAGTGAAGTTAATGTTACCATTCAACTTTTTGTTCTTCAGCTTGAATCACATACACTGGAACCTGGCCATTGTATTCTTTCACCTACATCATGGTTCTGCTGCTTGGACCCCAAAGACAATGATATGGAAAGACTCCAGCTTAATTATGTTCTCTTTTGTCTTTCTATATAAATAGCTTTTAGAAATGTAGATTATTCTTTTGAAATCCAGAGTAACAAATGTGAATACTACTATATTTTGATTTGAATAGCAAAGGAATGTTGAGGCCCAGGATCTAAAAAGATTCTTAATTTTCTTGTGCTTAACAAAGCATTGAATAGTATTTTTTAAAATAGTTTAAAAAAATAATTGAATAGTTACCTTATCAATGCGTTGGTCACAGAGAAAAAGTGCTGTTGCATGAACACAGTCATTAAATATGTATGTATGTGATTTAAAAATTAAATTAATAGTAAGAGTCTTAAAAGCAGCTTACACATGGTTTATTTTGAGAAAAAAATAACGATCTCATCTGCACACTTGTTTGGGAATGACTAGAAATGTGAATCAGTTTCTTAAATATATTTATTAAGGATAATTTGAGGTCAGCAATAAAAGGAAAGTTTGCTTACTGCTCACCAGGAAGAAGACAAGAGCTATAAGCTCTTATTTTTAGTATCAAAACAAGGCTATAAAGGACAAATAATGGAATGAGGAGCTACAGAACAAGACTGACTAAAGGCAATCTAGGTTGAAAAATAGAAATGCAATTAATTGAGAATCTATTTGTTTTAATCCATGTAAGGTTGAAGTTTATGAAGAAACGGGTACTAAAACCTATTTAATAGGAAAAGAGGCAGAGAACAGACTTTCTAAAAACTTTTAATATGTTTATTGTTTGCAAATGGCATTTATCATTTTAAGCATACAGAGTTAAACTGTCCTCTTAGACTACCTACTTAGTAATGGCAGTTACTATTTATACCTATAAGTAATGATCTATTTAAAAATACATTCTATAACTCTTCTTGAATTAGAGATCAACTTATTGCATTCTGAGAAATTAGTAAAATATGTACGTATTTCTAATTGAAATATTGGGTCTTTTGAGGAGAGTGTGCCTCTGTCCCAATCTTTCTCTGGAAGTTCTGAATCCTAGCAACATGAGTATAAAAATGTTGAATTCATTTGAGTATGACCAAATGAGAGAGCCATGTTAGGTGCTTGAGGACTCTTACCTGGCAGAGGAACACAGGTTTTACTCTGCTAGATTGATGTTCTGGCCCAATAATTCACCTGAAATCATTTTATATGCCTTCTAGTGTGTTCGAATTATATCACTTCTGTTTATTTAAAGGCAACTTAAGTGTGACAAAATTACTTCTCACTAGGCTGGACCAACTCATTTTGTCTATGTGAACAGAAGCAATGCTATAGGTAAGAGCAAACCATGTTGATCATAGTATCATAGCACTTTTTGTAATAGCGAAAGGAAGGGAGGGAAGGAGGGAGGATTATCCATATGCACAGGAAGAGAGTCTGGGAGAGTATACACTGAAATGCAAAAAAAAAAAAAAAGGTTCTCTATGGGTGATGAAGATACAGTGGTTTGTTTGTTTGTTTTTTTCCTCCTTTCTTTTTGCTTGTCTATATCTTCTAAGTTTTTTCAGTTAATATATAATTTTTTAAATTAAAGAAAGTGATTTCTAATGGAAAATAATAGGTATAGCTGATATTTTGGA